CTCCCAAATCCCAAACCTCCCAAATCCCAAGTACGAGTGCCCTAACATAATTTCAAAAAAAATAAAAATAATAAAAATGTCATAAAACTGGTCAAAAACAAAATATACCACAAGAGTAATATTTTGCCCCAAATTATTCGAAGAAATTAATTTTGCAAATAAACAAAATGCACAGCGAGTTTCTGCAGCGAATTACGTCGACAAGGCGAATAATCAGGAAGGGAATTGTAACAAGAAGGGTCGGAAACAAAGAGAAAAGAAAGTTTCGAGCGAAACAGGACGCCCGTAAAATGATCCGGCGAACAAATTCGCGGAAGAGTTATTGCGCCGCACTGAAAAATATACACCGTAATAAAACATACGGTACAGCAGCTTTTACAATGACGTCCTGGCACGGAACGGCGGGATCTTTTGTTCGGAATAAAAGTGTAACGGGGTGTCTTTAATTCGGGGCCACGGAATCGACCCGTCAATTCGAAACGTAACCTCGAAAAATGCAAGAGCTAGTTCGAAACACAGAGCTAGTTCGAGTTTATCAACGGAGATAAGTGGACACGGGGTTCGCGCAAGAGTTAATTAACAAAACGAGCTTCCGAAATGACACGCTCCTGTTTAATGAACGGCCCGTGACGTCACGATTTTAATTTGCTCCAGTAATTAGAGCAAATGGCGGACGGTGAATATCGCTAAATTTATGTTAATAATTTAGAATGGTAAATTAATTGGGGCACAGAGAAACATTTTACGATCCCGGCGAATAATCAACCTTCAAGGGAAACAAGAAAGCGCGTACTTGTTCGATACTCATTGACATTCCATCCTCAGAGCTGCAGCTTTCATGAAAATAGAAACACGAGGAAACCGTAGCCGTACGTGGCACGATTTTACAAGGATTTTACATGATCCTGGTTAAAAATAACGACGAGCATTCGGCAACGAGGATTTATTCAACGGTATAGGTAACCTAATTAGCTTGCCGACGTTCCATCGATCAGGTTGGCCCGCATACCACGGATATTTCTCGAATCGGCACGATCACGGTTAATATCGAGATTGAGATTTCGACGAGTTGACAAGTGGGTCAAGTGTACCTGGCGTCTCGGACCGCGTGCGAGCGTGTTTACGTTCCAAAATGAGAAAAATCTGTCGATCACTAACCTAACCCATTCTCTCTCGTCTTCCATTCATAGTATAACCTCAAATTATGCTGAAGATACCTTGATTTTTTCTGTACCTTTACTAAAGTAGTTTAATAGAATATATAGTACTCATAATACAGGGTGTCTCACAACTAGTACAACTCTCATTGGATGGGGTTTGAGATTCTGAACAACTTTTCCCTTTGCAGAAATTTGATCTGAAGCTTCGTTTTTGAGTTATTAAGGAAAAACACGGACCAATCAGAGCGCTAGTACTGCGCATGCGCAGCCACTAGGCGGAACTCTCTCGCGTCTGCGCATGCGTCCTTGCGCTCTGATTGGTCCGTGCGCATGCGCAGACACTCGACTCCGCCTTCGCTCTCGCGTCTGCGTAGCCTCGCGCTCTGATTAGTCCGTGTTTTTCTTTAATAATTCAGAAACGAAGCTTCAGATTGAATTTTTGCAAAGGGAAAAGTTGTTCAGAATCGCGAACTCTACCTAATTCCAGGAGTTGCACCAGTTGCGAGACATCCAATGTTTAAAAACATGGGAGTATTTAAAAACTCTCACCATTATAATACGTTTTGTACATAAATACTCAAAAGGCCCTAAAATAACAATTGAAAACTCCCTAAAAAGAGATATAACACAAAAATTAGTACAATAGAAAAATATCTTAAACAGAAATGTGCGTAAAAATGAATTATAACAGTATTTAATTAATTTCTATCTCGACCGTCTCTACAAAATGAAGTTCAAGCACGAAGTTTGTTAAATGAACATCGCCTGCAGTCGGATGAAGTATTGATTAAAGTAAATAGAAACTTACAATTCAGCATCTCCGAGTGTCACCAGAGCAATATAATCGTAAGAACAAGATACACGTACCTTGATCATGGTGTACGCTCGACTTTCTTCGTGGACCATCTTCTTCTGCTGCCTCTCCATCGTGGAATACGCCTTGGCCCATTGTAACCTCTCCTCCTGCGACAAGATGCAGTACATTAAAATAGCATTTGTTACGGGACCGGAGTTCTCCTTTCGCCTTTCTGAAGGAACCTGCAAGCTGTAGAATCGCGGAAGCGAACTTCGATATAGCGAGTATTAGGTTGGCTACGCTAGATTTGCTCCCTGGAGAGATTTTGGGTTAGGTTAGGATTAGTATATATGTATTTTGTGTAGCTTAGGCTATACTTTATGCAAGCTTTGTTTGGTTTTGAAATTTCTAATCCTCAAACTTGTAAATCCGTAAATTCCCAAATTTCTAAGCTCGTAAATTACTAAATTTCCAAATCCATAAATCAAGATCTACTTTTTTAATTCTACTCTTATCTACTCTTATTTAATTATAGCTCATAATCTATAATTACTCTTCAAGTATCTACTTCTTTTATTTTACCTCTGGATATCTTCATTTTATTTCTGGTTCATATCGATGATTATTTCGAACGTAAAAAAGTCCGAGAATTTATTTGCGAGTAAAATACGTGAGCAGAAAGAGGTTGCTCGAAGAAAGGATTCGTTTAAACTATTCTACTTTAATTTTCTAGCCGAGGAGGCTGCTTTTCTAACCGGAGGTCAGACGCTAAAGAGGAAAAATTAAGTTTGCTCGAGGCAAATTAACTTGCTTTGCAATTAAGCGTAGCCTGCGACGCATAAATCCGCAATGCGAAATCCGTTCTATTGTGAGAGTCTGGCGTAAGCGTGTTTTTCAGCGCGTAGAAAAAAACCGGTGTAATATAGTCCGATACTTCTTACCACCCTTGTTTACCGAATCGTTACGACCTCGCACTTGCACAGCTTTGTCGTCGTGTTGGAAACGTACCCTTAGCATCGAACGGCAAATTGAAAGGAAAACAAACAGTTTCTTCTGGGAATCAGAGAAATGCCAATACGTTTTACGATTGAACAATTTGATTTTGATTTGTTGGGTGGAAAATGATATTTCTGAGGGGTGTAGGAATTTCTGGAGTTGGAAAATGGGAAATTTAGGGATTTGGGGATTTAGGGGGTGAGGGATTTAGGGAGTGAGGGATTTGGGAGATTTGGGATTTGGGGGATTTGGGATTTGGGGCGCTTGGTATTTGGGACGCTTGGAATTTGGGAGATTTGGGATTTGAAACGCTTGGGATTTGGGAGATTTGGGATTTGGAACGCTTGGGATTTGGGACGCTTGGAATTTGGGAGATTTGGGATTTGGAACGCTTGGGATTTGGAACGCTTGGGATTTGGGACGCTTGGAATTTGGGACGCTAGGGATTTGGGACGCTAGGGATTTGGGAGATTTGGGATTTGGAAGCGTGGGGATTTGGGACGCTTGGGATTTGAGACGCTTGGGATTTGGGACGCTTGGGATTTGGGACGCTTGGGATTTGGGAGCGTGGGGATTTGGGAGCGTGGGGATATGGAAGCGTGGGGATATGGAAGCGTGGGAATTTAGAAGCGTGGGAATTTAGAAGCGTGGGAATTTCCAAAGCCAATAAAGTATAATCGAATAAAAATTAAATAAATTTGGGAACTGAAGACTAACCAAAGCCAATAAAGTATAATCGAATAAAAATTAAATAATATACCCGAATAATTAAATCAAAATTGCCTCTGAACTTTTCCAAAACTTCTAACTCTAAAATCTAAGTAAAATAAATCTAAAAAAAATTGTCTGTGTATTTTAAAAAAATTGTAAAGGTAAGAATATTATTTTTTTTAATAAAAATTATCAAATGACAAGATTGTTGTGGAGGTATTAATGACGTTATCAGTTTGGTTCCTTTTAATTACGCATGCAAGGAGAATAACAAGGCTTAAACAGCATGATCAATTAATAGCGGAGAATCGATCTCCTTAATGATTTGTAACTCGAGCGAGATACCGACGGTTCACTAGGCGAACGTGCTATTAATCATGGAGATCCAGCCAGCTGATCAGTGACAGTGCAGGAAATAATTACCAACTAGGCGTTTTAACAACACCAACACGTATGTTGAACGTGAGCTTGCGAATTTCACTTTGATGTGTTGTGGAAATGTGTAATGTTACCTGCACTTTTTCTTTATGCTATCACTGACAAGCTTAGGAAATTGTTTTTTTGGATGTTTTTTAAGATAATAGTCTTGGAGTAGTAGGTTTAATAAATTGTATTTATTATTATACTAATTATATAAATTTAATTTTTTCAAATTTTTAAATAAGTTTCTTGGTATCAAAATTAGGTATTTGAGTATGTCTGAGTTCCCTAGGATTGAATTCCCATATTTCCCAATTTCCACATTTCCCAATTCCACATTTCCCAATTCCCACATTTCCCAATTCCCATATTCCCTAATTCTCACATTTTCCGATTCCCACATTCCCCAATTCCCACATTTCCCAATT